AACAGTTTTTTGGTGGAGTTTTTAGGGCTTTTTATATATGTAATATCCTGTCATCTGCATATAGTGATAGTTTTACTTCTTCCTTTCAGATTTGGATGCCTTTTATTTCTTGCCTAATTGCTCTGGCTAGACTTTGCAAGATGGTTTTGAATAAAAGTGTTAAGAGTGGGCATTGTTGTCTTGTTTCTTTTTCTTTTTTTTCAAAGATTTTATTTATTAATGAGAGACAGAGAGAGAGAGAGAGAGAGAGAGAGAGAGAGAGGCAGAAACACAGATAGAGAGAGAAACAGGCTCCATGCAGGGAGCCCGACGTGGGACTCAATCCCGGGTCTCCAGGATCAGGCCCTGGACGGAAGGCGGCGCTAAACTGCTGAGCCACCCGGGCTGCCCCGTTGTCTTGTTTCTGATCTTAAATGAAAAGCCCTCAAATGTTTACTGTTGAGTATGTTAGAAATCAGTTTGTCATGTATGTAGCCTTTACTATGTTGAGATATGTTTTTATCATAAATGGATGTTGCGGGGCACCTGGGTGGCTCAGCTGGTTAAGCGGCTGCCTTCTGCTCAGGTCATGATCTCAGGGTCCTGGGGTGAGTCCCCAAGTGGGGCTCCCTGCTCAGCAGGGGAGTCCACCTCTCCCTCTTTCTCTGCCTGCCACTGCCCTTGCTTGTGGGCAAGTGCTAAATAAATAAATAAATAAATAAATAAATAAATAAATAAATAAATAAATGTTGGATTGCAGCTTATTCTGAGATGCATAAAAAAGATTGGATGGAGGGCAGCCCGGGTGGCTCAGCAATTTAGCGCTGCCTTCAGCCCAGGACCTGATCCTGGAGACCCAGGATTGAGTCCCATGTCGGGCTCCCCGCATGGAGCCTGCTTCTCCCTCTGCCTGTCTTTCTCTCTTTCTCTCTCTCTCTCTCTCTCTCATGAATAAATAAGTAAAATCTTAAAAAAATATATTAAAAAAAAAAAGATTGGATGGAAAAAAAAAAAAAGATTGGATGGAGGGCCACCTGGGTGGCTCAGCAGTTGAGCATCTGCCTTCAGCTCAGGGCATCATCCAGGGGTCCCGGGATTGAGTCCTCGAGGAGCCTGCTTCTTCCTCTACCTATGTCTCTGCCTCTCTCTGTGTGTCTCTCATGAATGAATAAATAAAATCTTAAAAAAGAAAAAAAAAAGATTGGATGGATGGACATACAGATGATAAAGCAAACATGAGTGTAGAATGTAACTGGTAAGAATATTGGTGATCGCTGGACAATGACTTCAAGTGTTCCATATACCTGAATATTTTCATAATGCTTAGAAAAATTACATAGCATATTAGAAGGTGATAGATGTTCTGGCAGAAAGATAAGCAAGGCATTGGGAGGGAGGATAGGGAGTGACTGAGGTGGGAGCTGAAACATTAAATAAAATCACTCAGGAAAGCCACCCTGAGAAGACCTGGAAAATCAAGAGTGCGAGCCACACAGAAATCTTGGGGGAAAATGTTCCAGGCAAAGTGACCAGTAAGTACAGAAAAGCCCTGGGGCACAAGCATGTCTGGGGTTCCTGGAATAGCAAGGAGGGCAGTATAGCTGAAGCCAGGGGGGTGAGGGTGAGGGTACATGAGGCCCCAGGAGCAGCAGGAAGGGAGATCCCACAGGCTCACGGGCCACTGTTCAGCTTTGACTTTTGCTCTAAATGAGTGGGATACAGGAACAGCTGTCAGTGTAGTGAGACCAAACGGAGGCTCACAAAGCCAAAACAAAGAGGCCAGAGGGGAGCTGCTGGCAGTGGTCAAGCGAGAAATGGTGGTGGCTCCTGCCTGAGGGTCGTGGTGGAAGTGGTGAGAACTGGTCAGGTTCTGGATCTATTTTGAAATGTGGGCCAGCAGGGTTTGGGCATGGATTGGATGTGTGGGTAGTGAGAGAAAGAAAGCAGTCAAAAATGATGGATAGAGACAAGGAAGATTACAGTGGGAGCACATTTTAGAGGAAGAGCATAGGTTCATTTGGGGGAAACTAAATTTGAGATGTCTGCTAGGCTTTCAAGTAGAGTAGACATTTGGATTCAAGGGAGATGGGGGAGAGGGAGGAAGCCTTAGGGAGAGAAACAGGAGGACTGGAGAAGGGAGTGTCAGTCCAGCTAACTGGTTGAGTAAGAGTAAGAGCAAGCACTGACCTTGGGGTTTGGGGGAGGAGCCCCTCCCCCACTGTAGCCTCAGTCCAGGGCTCAGTCAGACAAAAGAGAGGTGTAACCATTTCCCCAAGGCCATGGCCGACCTAATTCTTTCAGTTGCACTCAATAGCTCTGACCACACTCTCCTGTAACATTGTGAGATTTGTCCATTTTGACACAGCTTTAGACCAAAGGTCAGAGAACTAAGGCCTCAGGCCAAATCTGTTTTAGTAAATAAAGTTTTATTGGGGTCACAACTATACCCATTAGGGGCCTTAGGCTACTTCCACATTCCAACAGAATTGAGTAGTTGCTGGAGATCATACGCCCTCAAAGCCAAACATATTCACTGTCTGGCCTTTTCAAGGGAAAGTTTCCTGACCCCTTCTCTCTCTCACGGTGTGTTGCTCTGTTAAAGGGATTCCTAATATATTCAGTGGGACATTTAGGTGGTCCCATTTTTTTTTTTTTTTTTTTTGCCATTAAGAAAATGCTTCAATAGGGGATCCCTGGGTGGCTCAGCGGTTTCGCGCCTGTCTTTGGGCCAGGGCGCGATCCTGGAGTCTCGGGATCGAGTCCTGCATCGGGCTCCTGGCATGGAGCCTGCTTCTCCCTCTGCCTGTGTCTCTGCCTCTCTCTGTGTGTGTCTACCATAAATAAATAAAAATAAATCTTTAAAAAAAATGCTCCAATAAACAAATTAAACTATGTTCCCTTGAGCTCACATGGCACACAGCAAGGGGAATTCCTGGTCTCTAGGATATAGGCATCTTCAGTTAGGCATCTTCAGTTTCGGTAGATTTTGCCAAATTGCTCTCTACTGTACTAAAAAGATTTACACCCTCATCAGCAGCATAGAGTTCCTATTCTTCCATTTTTCTCTAAAACATGGTATGATATTCGTTCATATTAGTTAGCAGTTTTCTGTTGTTCATGGATTCCTCTGGGTCTTCTGGCTGTGAGTGATGGTTATGCTTCTCCTTTTTCTTGGCCTGGTGCTCTGGCTAGGACCTTGATACAATGTTGCATTGTGTTCAATGACACAATTCAAAATTTGTTCTTGGCTTTAAAGGGAATAATATTTAACATTTTATCATATAGTACGGTGTTTTACCATTAAGTATGATGTTTACTGCAGGTTTTTTGGGGAGGAGTAGGAGAGTTCACTTAGAAAACCATCTGGATTAATTTTTTTAGGTATATAGCTACTCACTTTGTATATTTCTTTTTTATTTTTATTTTTTAAAGATTTTATTTACTTATTCATGAGAGACACAGAGAGAGGCAGAGACATAGGCAGAGGGAGAAGCAGGCTCCCTGTGGGAAGCCCGATGCAGGACTCGATCCCAGGACCCCAGGATCCGGAACTGAGCAGGAGGCAGACGCTCAACCACTGAGTTACCCACGTGCCCTGATCATCTGTTTTAATAGGTGAATGTAAAATCTTTTTTACCTCTGGTTTTGTATCATTTACCATTCTTTTTTTTTTAATTTTTTTTATTTATTTATGATAGTCACACACAGAGAGAGAGAGAGAGGCAGAGACACAGGCAGAGGGAGAAGCAGGCTCCATGCACCGGGAGCCCGACGTGGGATTCGATCCCGGGTCTCCAGGATCGCGCCCTGGGCCAAAGGCAGGCGCCAAACTGCTGCGCCACCCAGGGATCCCTCATTTACCATTCTTTTAACTACTTTTTTTTCTCCTTTCCTGCTTTGGCCATTACACTTTCCATTCTTTAGTGATCCCTCATAAGTGTCTGAAATACACACTTTGGTTTACAAAGCTGGGCAATTATCAGTATCTTTATCTTGCTCCCCTCAAATCAGGCATCTTAGAACACTTGAACTGATTGCCTTCTCCAGTCTTACCTGTTGTGTCCTTTCTTGTTTTGTACTCCACAGATTAATCATCACTGTTCATGTTCCACTGTGTTTTAGATCTACTCACATGTTTGCCAGTTGAGTTGCTCACCATTTTTCTATCTTCTCTTTGGAGTTCTGCAAATTCATTACAAAGTGCCAAAATGCTACTTTTATTTATCCCGCTTTGGATTTTATGTGAGAATCCTGGTCTTTAATGAAGTTTGTAAGCTCTTCTTCAGGTACTGCCTCTCCCATTTTTTTTTCTCTCCTTCTGGAATTCTGATTGGGGCTGTGATAGGACTGGTGAAGTGAGAAGACTCACTTCCTCTTTTACATTGCCCATCACCTAGTTTCTCTGGTGAGTTGCTTCTGATCTATTTTCCAGTTCAGTGACTTATCTTCCATATCTAATCTACTTTTTTGTCTCATCCTTTGAGACCTGAATTTCAATAGTTTTTCTAATTCTAGAAATTCCTTCTAAAACCTGTGTTCCTTTTTAGTGTCTTCTCTTTCATGTTTTAATCCCCTCACCCTAGCTTTTTTTTCTCTAATCATGAGCTCCACGAAGGCGAGAAGGTCTTTGGGTTCACTGTTGTCACCCCCGGTGCCTCGCACCGTTGCTGGAACAGAACAGACTCCGAGTGTCCTATGGGATGACTTGGCACCAGTGGGAAGGGAAGAAAGATGCCGATCTGGGGACTGGCTCTGGCTCCCGCTCGCTCTCGGGCCGCGGGAACCGGGCTGCGGGAGCCGAGAGGTCGCTCAACCCCAGCTTCGGGGAGAGGGGGCGGCAGCCCATGACATCACCGGACTGTGACGTGACCAGGAAGCCCCGCCCCTTCGCGGCCCAGACCGGGAATCCAGCTCTCTGTCCCGTGACGTCACGGGTCCGGCGGGAGGGTTTTGCGTCGGCCCAATGGGAGTGGCGCGCCGGCCTCCCCTTTAAGGAATGTTGTGACCTGACGTCACCCGGGCGAGTTACCTCCCCGAGCCACCGCCGCCAGGCTCAGCTCGAGCCCCGGAGCCCTTGAGCGCGAGGCGCGGAGCCCCCGAACCTCCGCCAAAGCCCCAACCGCGCGCCCCGGAGCCCCGGCCTGCGCGCCCCGCCGGGCCCGCGCGATGCCCTCGGACCGGCCTTTCAAGCAGCGGCGGACCTTCGGTGAGGCCCGGCGGGCGGTCAGCGGGCGCGGGGAGGGGGCGCCGCGAGACTGACCCTGACTGCCGCAGGCGACGTCAGCCCCGTGACGTCAGACTCGGGCTGGACCCCTGGGCCGTGAGGCAGGTTCAGGCCTGGGCCGGGACCTCGCCTCCCAGCCGGCGGGTGCCAGGCCCTGGGGCCTGATGGCCCTGGGGGCGGGGGTTGGGGGGGCGGGGCCGGGGACAGGCGGGGCGAAGGGCGAGGGGGACCTCTCGGCCTTACTGCCCGCCCGCTGTCCGCAGCCGACCGCTGTAAGGAGGTGCAGCAGATCCGCGACCAGCACCCCAGCAAGATCCCGGTGAGTCCCGCCACCCCCTCCCAGCCCCGCGGCCCCAGGCCCCGCCTGGCTCACGCATCCCCCGCCCCACCCCTAGGTGATCATCGAGCGCTACAAGGGTGAGAAGCAGCTGCCTGTCCTGGACAAGACCAAGTTCCTGGTCCCAGACCACGTCAACATGAGCGAGTTGGTCAAGATTATCCGGTGTGTGGGCAGCAGCAGTCAGAAGGGGCTTGGGTCCTTCTGGGGGAGGGCGAGGCCCCATCAGGCCAGGCCTGGCCTTAAATCTCTGTTCTGGAGAGGTTGGGATAGTCAAGGTCAGGGCTTGGATCAGTGTCAGGTCAGAGGTGAGGGCTCCTAGAAGGGGCTGGGATGGGTGTGAAGCCACCTCAATCGTTTGGGGGGTGGTGGTGGTGTAGGGCTCCACCCACCCAGGAGCCAGGCCCCCTCATACTGGCTTGCTCTTCTGCCCACCCCAGGCGCCGCCTGCAGCTGAACCCCACGCAGGCCTTCTTCCTGCTGGTGAACCAGCACAGCATGGTGAGCGTGTCCACACCCATCGCGGACATCTATGAGCAGGAGAAGGATGATGATGGCTTCCTCTACATGGTCTACGCCTCCCAGGAAACCTTCGGCTTCTGAGCCAGCAGTAGGGGGGGTGGTTGGCCTGGGAGTGGGTGGGTGCCCTGTCAGGCTCTGCCCAGGGAACTCCTGGCTCCTGAACTGAACTGCTCTGCCCGGGTTGGGCTGGGCAGGGATGCTGGCCCCCTAGCCAGGGGGCACCGACTGCACCTACTCTGCCCCTGGGTGGATCCTGGGCCAGTCATTGTTAGGGATGCCCTCCTGGGTGCTGGCTGGGATGGGGGAGGGTGGGGAACAGCCCCCAGCACTCTTGCTCGTGTGATTTATCTTTTTTTTAGGCCCCTGCCCATCTGCCCCTCCCTCACCTGAGGCGCTGCCCCCCTGCCTGGACCTGCCCACCCCTGAAGGACTGGCCCCTGGCTCACCTGATCTTGACATGGTGTATGGATCTGTGGTCATTGTTCCTCTGCAGAATAAAGATTGCTCAGGCCTGCCTGGCCCTTTGCTTCCAGCTACTTGGGGAATGGGTAGGGCTTCGGGTGGCACTGTCTCATACCAGTTTCAGCTCACTAGGAACAGCTTTGTGTGCTGTGGACTTGGGGCTCATTCTGGAAACTCGCACCAGTGTGTGGTATACCGTGGTGATGTAAGGGGCCAAGCCCACCCTTTCCAGGAGTTCAGTGTGGGCCCAGGATAGATTTCATAACAAAAAAGATTTATTAAGTAGCCACAACCTAACAAATCCTGCTCACCTGCTTCTTCCCCTTTCCAGCATGGAGGGGGTTCCCTGGTATGCAGAGCCAAAAAGTGGGGGTCCAAGTGGAGTTGCTCCTGGCTATTCCCCACAGGCCTTGCTGCCAGCCATGGCTCCCCTCTGGTGCCAGAGATTTGTAACCCTGGACTCGAACCTCATTTGCCTGAGGACTCCTCTGCTGGGAACTCTGGCTAGAGGGCTGGGCCCAGCCTCTGGCCCTTTGACCCCCTGAAGTCCATGCAGCCCTGTGCCCAGCAAGGCCTATTTGAGCACAAGCATGGCCTCTGTGCCGTCCTTGGCAGTCAAGTAGAGACCATGTGTGAGGTAGTACTCCCGCCGCAGGAAGGCATAGAAGTAATCAGAGATGAGCAGGATCTGGGGGGAGAGAGAAGGTGTCAGAAGCTCTAAGGAACCTCCCCCTGAACCTTGGGTCACTGAGGGGCTGGGCAGCTGTGGGGGAGACCCTGCTCAGGCACCCCTTACCCACACTGCAAGGTCTTGCACTTCAGAAGTCGCCCCAATCCATCCCACCCCTGTGGGTTTATGCCACCATCCCTAGGTCTGGCCTCTGAACTCCAGAATGTGACCTCTGCAACTAGAGGCCCCTCCACAGTACAGCTGAGTCCCTGTCAAAGTTTCTTCTCCCACTGTGAACCCATACCCCCCCCCCCATCTTCCTTCCAGGTGCTGAGGCCACAGAATCACCTGATACTTCACCTGCCAGTTCTATCTCCCAAATGCTCTCAAATTCACCCATTTCTACTTGTCCTTACAGCTACCACCCTGAACAAAATCACTGCCATCTAAACAGCAGCAGTCTCTTCTCTGTGTTCCCTGGTCCCAAGCCTCCCACCCCCAGTCCATTCTCCTTAGCAGCCAGAGATTGCTTTTCAGAACAAATCTGGTCATGTTCCTACCTGAAAGGTCCTCTAAAGGCTTCCTAAGGCTCTTAGGGTGAAGATCAAACTCCTTTGAGGCTCTGAGGCCTTGGGCCTGGTCCCTATCCATGTGCATGCCTCACCCTCTCTCCTGCTCCACCTCACTCAGCTCCAGTCACACTGGCCTCTTTCCTCCTGCTGCAGGATCTCTGCTGTTCCTTCTGCCTGGAATGTTCTTTTCCCTTTCATCCAGTCACCATCTGCTTACCCTTTAGGTCTCAGGAAGGATCATTTCCTTAGAGAAGCCCTCCCATACCCCCCCAGGTTGGGTCTTGGCCCCATTAATCTCAAATTAGTTTTTCTTTCATCTGCATGAGTGCCTGATAACTGTGGCTCCTCCCCTGTACTGGGAAGGGTCCCCAAGGGGTTCTGACACTCTGGTATTCATGCCCAGCTCAGTCTGCCTTTCCTATATGGGCCACAGAATCAAAAAGGCCCTAGAAGCTTAGGCTACCATCCCTATCACAGAGGCCCAGAGCTGAACAAGGACTTGCGCCATTTTATAATCCCATCACATGCTAAAACCTCCAGTGCCTGGGGCAGGAGGGGCTCACAACCCCAGGTCTCAGCCACTTAGAGGCCTCTTAGACCATCAGCACCAACCACCTGTTGCACAGATGAGAAGATGGAAGCCCAGAGCAGTGGTGGGGAGCACCTGGCTAGAGCCTACAGAGCAGGTCAGAGGTTGAGCTGAGTCTGGGATCTTGGCCTCTGATCCTCAGAAACCCCTGTCCTGGGAAGCCTCATGCTGTGGGCAAAAAGAACATGGAGGGGCTTGAAACGAGCTAAGGACAAACACCAGGGCTGGCCTCAGGACCAGGTCCTGCCATTTTATCACCAGAGGAGCCCATCTGGCAAGCTGATGGTCTTTAATAGATGAGGAAACTGAGGCACAGAGCGTCCAGTAGTTGGCCTAAGACTATGCCAGAAGAGCTGGCCTAGTGGCCAGGACCCTGCAAAGTGAGGCACCTGGAGTCCAGTCTGCCACAGGGCAGAGAACTTGCAGCAGAGGCTATCAGTGGAGCAGATAGCCCAGGGAGCCCGAGGCCTTTCTTCACAGCTGCCTGCGGGGTCAGTTACCACAGCAAAGGCTGACCTCATAGCCTGTAGCCCCCTTTTCACCCAGACCCAAGCTGTCCGGTCTGGGGATGGGGAGCCTGAAGCTGTGGCTGAGCTGGTGGGGGCTAACCCCCAAGCCAGGTCTGGTGAGGGTGAAATGCAAAGTCACAATTCACAATAAAACAAAACGAACCGACTTCAGTGTCATACACAATCAGCTGCACAAGGATTAGAAAATCAAAATACTAGGGATTAGGTTGAACCATATAAAATGGCCATTTTTGCAGATCAAAAATGGTTGAGTATTGGAAAGTTCATATAGTTCAATCCAATATAAAATGGAAAAAAAAATGAAGAGATACAAACAGTAGAACACACTTTTTTTTTCAGCACACGTTATTTAGAAGAACCAAAACAAATATCTAAGGCCTTAGAGAGCTATTCTTTTTCCTTATAATCCTTAATATTGCAAATTATGTATGCATATATCATTGACTAAAAAATCAAGTAAAAGCAACCAGCCAATAAATGGCTGAATAAATAAATAAATGAGAGGATTCCTTTTGGAATCCTTACAGAGGAATTCCAAATAACTTATGCAGACATGCCCTCCTCCAGGAGATGGAACCTAATTCTTTTTTTTTTTTTTTTTAACCTAATTCTTGTCTGCCCCCTACCCCTGCCTGAGTGGGCCAGACTTGGTAACTCATTTCCAAAGAACAGAGCAGGGAAGGAGAAAATAGTAGTTCTCTACTGAAGTCCCACAAACACGGTCTTGAACAAATGATGAAGGGTAACAGCATGAAATCAGGTGGCTACCATGTACTGGCTGAGCATTCAAAACAATCCAAACCCCAGTCTTTTTTTTTTTTTTTTTAATTTTTTTCCAAACCCCAGTCTTATAGAAAAGTATGGGACAAACCCAAAGGAGGGACACTCTACAGGATACCTGGCCAGTGCTCCTCAAGACTGTCCAGGTCATGAGAAATTAGGACAGAGTGAGAAAGGGGGCACAGAACATCGGGGAGACAGGACACTTAAATGTAATGTGGTCTGCTGGCTTGGGTCCTGGGTGTTCAATATTAAATTTTTCAACTTTGCTGTGTCTGTGAAAATTTTCACGATAAAGTGTCAGGAGAGGGTGGCATGGAGGGAAAGAGCCCTGTGTGCTGGCTTGGTCTATCTGGAACCAAAGGTCACTAGTCCTGATTGTGTGTCCTGCCCCTGCCTCACAGAGAAGGCATCTTGTGGACACCAGGCTGGCCTGGAGGGTTGGCTTTTTCAGAGAGATGCCCCCAGATGGTAGTAGGCTGGCCGAGGCAACCTCTTCTGACCTTGAAGCTTTCCATTTGGGCTGAGGAGAAGGGATTTCCCAGAGGCCATGGGATTCAGGCCACACAACAGCTGCAGACCAAGAGCCCTTCTGCCCAGTCTGGGCAGTAGAAGTTAGGCAAGGAACAGTAGAAAGAGCATGGGTGAGTTAGTGGCTGTGTGGCCCTATGTAAGTCACTTTCCCTACCCTAAGCTGCATTTTCCTTATTTGAAAAGTGAGTTATAAACCAGTTTACTCACAATGGTGGTTCCCCTAGCCCTTGCTCAGTTCCTCTGTGTTTTCAGAGACCTGAAGAGCAGCCCATTTTTTAGAGCTGCCCTCAGGACAATGGCTGGACTCCTCATCTCTCCTGCAATCAACCACCACGTTCTGCTAATCTCCTTCTTCAGACTTCCAACACAGTCTCCTTGTCTCCTCCCGTTGCCACCCCTTGATGGAAGGCCTCCTGTATCATCCTGGCTCCTATTTTTTTTTAAGATTTTATTTATTTATTCATAAGAGACACAAAGAGAGAGGCAGAGACATAGGCAGAGGGAGAAGCAGGCTGCCTGTGGGGAGCGCAATGCAGGACTTGGTCCAGGACCCTAGGATCACAACCTGAAGGCAGACACTCAACCACTGAGCCACCCAGGTGTCCCCCTCCTGGCCCCTCTTAATCTCTCGGTGTCTGTCTGTCTCTCTGGCAGTCTCTCAGGGTCTCTCTCTCTCTCAGTCTCTCTCTCACACACACAAACACACATGAATCCTTCACTTGCCTGCTCAGAAGTGTCTAGTGCCCCACTCTGCCCTGCACCACATCCACACACCCCAGGAGCCCTGAACACAGCCTGTTCCTGCAAACAGCATGTGGCCACACCCCACCGCCTCTGCTCATGCTCAGCTCAGCTCGGTAGCTGGAATGGCCCTTCCCACAAAGGGCTCCTACTTAGCCCTAGAGAGGCATCATCTGCATCTCCTGCCCTAGAGTCTTCCCTAACCTCATGCTTAGTTATGTCACCCCTGGGATGAAGTCACAACCAAAAGGGGTGGCATCTGCTCCAGCTCTGTGACCCCAGGCCCAGGAAAGGGCTGGTGCTCTGGGAGAGGTCTGCTGGTCCCCACCCTCTCAGTGTTACCACAGTGAGGGCTCAGTCAAGACCACATTTCTCCTACTAGTAGCCAGGAGGGTTGCAGGACTACCTTCTGAGCCACAATGAAGATTTAATGAGGCAGTTGATAAAAGGATGGCCAGGGACAGGAGCGGTGCTTCACATGTGGAGTAAAATGGACAGAACATGCTCCACTACAGGAGAGGAGAGTGGAGAGAGGGGGAAACCAACAACTCCCAGGTAGCTGCCCTGGGCCAGGCCCTTTACCAAAAGAGCATCATTAGGGTGGGCAAAATGGGTAAAGGAGAGTGGGAAGTACAGGCTT